GTGTGTGTGTGTGTGTGTGTGTGTGTGTGTGTGCGTGTGTGTGTGTGTGTGTGTGTGTGTGTGTGTGTGTGTGTGTGTGTGTGTGTGTGTGTGTGTGTGTGTGTGTGTGTGGTTGTTATGGAGTGAAAGAAAGGGATTTGACAACATCGTCTCATTACACTTGAAATAAAATGCATATTTGAAACATCATATAGCTTTTTTTAGTTAATTTGGTGAAATTAATTTCATATTACAACTGAAAAGGCAGTGTATGATAAGTTGGAAATTTAGGACCTACAGGTTATTGATATCTGTAATTTCTATTGCATAAATAAATTATATGTGTTAATCAGATTTGTTGTTAAACATTTCCATTCTTAAGAAATATTTGATGGCTAAAACAAATTCCTATATTGTATTTATTTTGTATTTTTATTGTCTCAACTGTAATAAATCATGGTATCTTACAATTTTGCCAAATAATTTACTAATTAACTTAATAAACATGATTATGAGTTTGACAAGGTTTGACTTAAAAGGGCAGAATCAAGGGAAAATCAGTAAATACAATTTAACAATTAAAACAATTGTATTTATTGTTTGACTTTAATATAATCTAGTACAGTTAATATAACCATAATATTATTAGAATTCCATATTGTTACTATGCATTTAAATGAATATTTTCCCATCTTAATTCTGAGCCCTAAAATATTCCTTCATGTACTTGTATGACAAGGCAATTCAGACCACAGTGGCAGCCATAAATATATCCATTCTGTGACAGCGCTGGGGTAAAACAACAGAGGACAAACACACATACACACAGATGAGCTCTCCGCTCATCAGACAAACCGCACACGCACGCACACACAAACACACACAGTCACACACGCTGACCACCGCACAGCCAGTAGCTCCCTCTGTTGACCACTGCTGAACTGCAGACTGAAGGGCTCTCCCGGCACACAGCTGCCAACCTGCCTTTGTGTCCCCATCAAGACGCAATACAAGAGCACTGCAGCACTCTCATATGACAGGCACAAACACACACACTTTTCAGTCTATTTTCTCTTGCGAGGGACATTGAGTTTCTGAGTTTGAGGAAGCAGAAGCAGATATTAGCAGAATCATTTTTCGATTTAAAGCTTTGCTTGATAACAGCACGTTTAGGAATCTATGCAAGTGTGAGTTGTCACGTGGTGACTTAAACGGTGCTTCCACATTTTCCATGTCTATCACACAAATACACAATCAGTCAGACATTATTCATCACAAAAAATGTAAAAACACAAGCTATATATGTATATGTAATACTTAATGAAGTATAAAGTAAAGATAAAAAGAAAAATAAAGTAAAAATAATAATATAAAAATATAAGATATATTTTGTATATATATGTTATTACCTATTACTCTTAAATGAACATGAATATAAAACATTAGATTTATGCTGCGTTTATTTGTTTGTAGTACAGTTCTCTGCTCAGCTCCAAAGCTTTCACTCTTAGACGCCCTGTACTGACCCGAGTGGCTACAAATAAGCATCCTGCCTCTTGAATTTATTACAGCCCAATTTTTGACAAGTTGATTTTAAACAACTCCAGCGGCGGGCGCATTGACTGTATGCTCGGCGGCTGGTCGGCTGACATGTGACCTAAGTGAACTTGCCCTCTCCTATTGACTGCCGTGATTGATGCTCTGCCAAGCTAGCCCTGATAATTCTTAGCCACATGTCAACAGCCAGTGACCAAAAGGGTCATCCCTGTCTTTAACATTTCACACACACAAATAAAAAACACACACACATGCTCTCACGCCCACATACACACGCACAAAAACGCTTACAAAAGCCAGACTGGATTCTTTTCATATCCTTTTTGAGACTTTGCACACCCGTCCTTGCTAGCGCCTAATGCGTTTTGTTTTTACATCTCAGAGCTCGTCTTTCAATCTGCCGGCTTGTGAATTGAATGCTCGTCCGTCTCTTGTGGCAGAACGGGATTCGGTTTGAAAGCGAGACGTGGCTCGTTGTAAAACACACACCGTCGGAACAATGGATGCAGAGGCGCTGTGCTAAAACTGCTAATGAAAAAGATGGGCAGCTATTGACACGTATCGACAGCCGCTTCAATCAGCGCAGACTAGTCGTGCATACTTAAGTTCAAATGTATTCAGCGGGGCAGCAGGGATTAAAGGCTGTTAATGGCAGCGTGTAGTAGTGAAGCCAGGCTCGATTCTGAATAACTTTATGGTGCTATGAGCACATTGTTGTCATGCTTAAACTTAATGTTGTTAGCATCTTGCTATCAAAGTCAGATTTACCTCAATTTTTGTTGTATGTAGAGGGGGTGACACAAGTGTGGAGTGATGATTTGGGTATTTCCAGCCCCACGTGGCCAGTGTTTAGGGGAATGGCTGTCCATTCAGCACAGATATGGAAATGTGACCTAAAGGGGGGTTTGTCAAAAGCAGCCGGGCCACTGTAATTGAATCAATACGTCCGGACACAACACTGCACCCCTGCTGTGAAGCCCAAATGAAAAAAGCACATCGCCTGTGCACAAAAAACAACAAAAAAACAACTTTGTCTGCTAGTATGAACATTTGCTTTGCTTTGATTCAGGTTTGATTCACTTTAACCTTTTTCTCTACATGCTTTTAAAGCAAGACCATACATTTTTAATGTGGCCATCTATTTGATTTCCTCTTTTTCTCAGTGTGCATCTTAGTTCCTCAAGTATGAGCAGATAAGTTTTGTCTGTTAGCTCCTGCGCTCAGCATTTGATCTACGTGGAACTCAATATGAGGAATGTTTGTTGGTCTCATGGGACCCGAGTGAACACAGGTATCCCTCCTATCTGCATTCAGACATTACGGCAGTTCCCGTTCCCCTCATCCTCTTCATTTTCGTTTGTCACAGTGCAATTAAAACAGTTTCAAATGGCAGTCGGCTTCCTGTCGTTTACACACAGCGCTTTGAAACCGCTGCTTTAGTATTTTTTAATCATGTGCCTTGTTTTTGTGGTGCAAAGATTGCAGAGACTGTACATTGTTTAAAAGCAGACAGATGAATAAATTAAGCAAATGTAACTTTCGAAGTGTGAGTGTGTGTGTGTGCGTGCGCTGGCCGGCCGAAAACAGTAGAGTGTTATTCGAAACTCCTTTGTTAGACCCACAGCGTCCTTCAGCAATGGCAGCAGACTCCCATGTAATAAAAATAATCTTCTTGCAGTCTTTTACATTTCTCTGGAAACAAAGCTATGCGATTCTGATCGTTCAAACGCATTTCCTTTTCTTTTTCCTGCCCATCTGTTATTCAAAGGGAAAAGCCTGAATTTCACTCAGTTGTGTCTATATGTGCCATATCAAGCTTTTTCTTTCTTTGTGCAGTTTAGAAGTAGATCTTATTTCCCTGAAAGATATTAGTTTCCAGTGATGTGTGCGTTGCATTGATCTGCGCCTCTTTATTGTTGATGTGCATCTCTCATTCGATATATCTTACTCTACACAACGCACCTGCTGCCTACCTGAGCCTTAATAGATGTTTGTACCAATGTTTTTTTTTTAATATGGTTATTCTTTTTTAAGTTATTTTTAAAAAAAATATAGATGTTGTTTTAAGCAATGAAATGACAATGACTACTGAAATTTAAATATTGATGAAAATAATAATAATAAATATATTTTTAGAATAAGGATTGTTGAAAATAGCAAAGATAAACAACTACATGCAAATATTGAGTTATTTCTTCATTAAATATTTTCTTTGTTCTAAGTAATGAAATGACAAAGTCAGTACCTGATTTATTTATTTAAAAAATATTGTTACAATTTATAATTTGTTAAAAGTTTGACTGCTTTGTGACATTTTTTATTTATTTATTTATTATAAGGATTGTTGAAATGTTGAAAAATAAAACTGGAGAAAAGGATAAATTACTTAATGTTTATTAACAGAGTTAAACTGTTAATATAAATCAAGTCAATCAAAGAAATCTAGTTTTGTATATGAGGTCCTGTGAACAGGTTTAGTTTAGTTTCACAGACCCAAGGCAAGCATTTTAAAGAGATATCTGCCTCCAAAATCCCCACAAGTTTGAAATATGAAAGACGGTCAGATGCAATTTCTGTGGCGGCGTGGTGGGGCAGGCACAATGGTTTGTGGGCCGGTGCGGCACCTGAATTTTCTTATCAGTGGGGAATTGCGGTGTGCTGAGATGCCAGCAATATCTTCCCTGCTGCTGCTGGAAATGCAGCGAGCCGGTGACACACGCGTAAACATACACACGTACTTGCGAACCGTGCGTGCCGGCAGCCTGGATGCCCCGCAAATGTGGCTCAATCATTCTAGAACAAAGGGGTGCCTTTGATCTTTCCTCGCTGTATCTGTCAGTGATGTGGTCACGGTAGCGTGTGTCCACTCCCTCACTTCCACATTTGCTCTGATGGGCCGCTGTTATGATGTTGCGGTGGATTGCTACGGGTTTAAGGACTGTATTGCTTCCAATTTCCCTGTTTCCACTTACTTAAAGTGCACGACAGTATTCGCAACCCGAAAACAAAAAGATTTTTTTTCTTATAGTAGAACAAACAGTACTTTTAAATTCAAACTCACTGATTGTTTATAATGCATAAAACGTGTTAATGTTCTCCGTGCAGGTGGAAGGAAGAAACAAACGACGGGCGGATGCAAAGTGAACGGGAAGCGGCTTCATTCACAATGTTTTGTATCAACAAAGTGAGCGGTTTTATCTCCGCACTTGACAGCGCGAGCCGATAAGCATTGCTGAGGGAGAGAAGCGGGCTGCTTCTTTAAACCCTCTCTCACCCCCACTTTCCCTCTCATTACACCACTCCCCCTCCCTCCCTCCCTCCCTCCCTCCCTCCCTCCCTCCCTCCTTCTCTCTCTCTCTCTCTCTCGCTCGCTCTTTGTCTTTCCCCTCCCCTCTCTCCCTGCTCCGTCTCTCTGTGGGCGCAGACACTACCCTGTCTCACTCCAATTGGCTGGGAAGCCACCAATCTGGCATCCGGGAGGGCCGGGGGGACTGCATATGCAAAGCCCTGATTCATATTAATGAGCAGCAATCGTGGCTTTAAGTCCTTGATTAGAAGAGTGCAAGAGCTTTTGGTCCCAACTGGCTGTGCCTATAGGCTGTCACCGGGAGAACGGTCCTGTTAATTGCACTGCTCAGTCACGGAAGGGAGAGAGAAGAGGAGGAGGTACAGAGAGAGAGAGAGAGAGAAAGAGGAGCGGAGACAGAGAAGCCAGAGTGAGAGAGAGAAAACTTTAATTTATAGAAGAGGTTTGCTCAAACGATGATCGCAGAGCGCACATGGATTCGGTAGAACTTTCGCTCCCTGAGTGTTTTTCCCTGCACTCCGATCAACAGTAGGTACATTTTCATTCCTTGTACTTCTACTTATAGTTATGTATCTGGCTAGACTGTTTGTTTTGTCTCCTGTCCTAGCAGTGTGTTTGTGTTTGTTTGTTTGTGTGTTTGTGTGTGCATGTGGTCACCGTAGTCCTCCTTGTCAAGGTTGTTTTTTGCTGTCAGGTAGCGTCTGGAGCTGTGTGTGCGTACTTGCGTCGTGCCGGTAGCTGACGGCTTGTCCACTATTACAGCAATCTGTGTCCGCTTTGACAGGACAGAGAGTGTTTTGTGTAAATCATTAGGAGTGTGTGGCGGAAAACAACATGAGAGAGAGAGTGCAGAGGGAGGAGGGGAAGACGAAAGCCATGGGATGGAAGGGAGAAAACGGTCTTAGGTGGCTTGCATCGCAGACCGGTCGCACAGCATGTGGCCCGCTAAATGTATTAAAGCCGGTGTGCTGGATCAGAGAGAGAGAGCGAGAGAAAGGGAAGGAGGGAGGGATTGAGTGCGCAGGGCACGAGCGGACGGTCCAGGAGCCGGTACAGAGAACAGCTCCTTAGCTTCATATTTATCCCTGTCCCGCTCCCTTCTGTCAGCACAGAGCGAGGAAACGTGAATACACTGATTTAGATGTCAAGCACTTTTATTCTGTTCTAAATACCAGCTATTTTATTTAGTTGTTTGGCTAAATCATGCTTATATAAAATCACCTGAGATAAAAGCTAAAAATTCTATATTTTATGTGAGACAGTTAAAACAACATGCATAGTGGGTCTTGAAAAAAATATACATTTCATTAAACAATTAGAAAATAATCGATTTAAAAATAAAACTTTTATAGACCTTTAAATCATGTCTGCTCGTAATAAAGGTGCATTATTTCGTCAATCGTTGCGTTCTGAATCGGACAAAATAGTGATGTAGCAGAACAAGTGCACGTACAAGTTTGATTAAAGAAACAACAGAACTATTAACCTCTGCCCTGTGCTGCATATGAATACTGATAAGAAAAATAGGCTGTGAACTGACAACATCTACAGGATGAAGAAAAGAAAAAAAGACACTTAGAGACTGAGAAGGGTCAGAAAGATCACAAACAGGTAACCATCCTGGTCTCCTAAACCTTCAGCCACCGTCCTGCAAAGTACAACACACCAGCAGCTCAACTTCCTCCTGAACGCTTGTGCGATTTATAAACACACCTGAAGAACATATGCTAGCGTAGTTGTGAAAGTCAATTTATTTAGGGAAGTTTGAGATTTGAAATATCCTATGTTGTTGGAATGACAGCAGTTGTGTGGATGTGCTGGCTGGCACACACCCTGCACAGGATCATTAGATTGACTGGATTATTCAGACTCATGAAAGGAAATTTCGGAGATAAGAGTGTCGGTTCCTCACAGCCTTTTAGCCATTTGGCGCTCGCTCGCTGTTTGATCTTTATTTTAACACAAATTGACTACTGAGATTCTAATTAGTATATTAATGATGGTAATAACAACAAGTGCTGGTTTAGCTATTATCATAATTACAGACTCTCACCGTCTGCATGTACATTTACATCTGCACGCTCATTTTAATATTTACATTCACAGTTGGAGATATTATGGAGCGTGTTTGAATGTCTTTTTGGATTATCTTCATTTTGATGGTAACGTTTATCTTTAGAAATGTGCTTTTTATTAAATAATATAATTACTATTGCTATTATTATTTAGATATCAGTTTATCAAATTATTTTGGATTTCTTAATGTTAATTGTTTGTTTTATTTTTAAAAAAGAAGAATTTTTGTAAACAGTTTTTCTAAAAACAAAAAAATATATTTTAATAAATTTAAATTAGTTTTATACATTTATATAATTTGTTTTAAAAATGACAGTTTTCCACATATGTGGTGTACAACGTTGATTGTTTAGCGTGTTTTCAGTTTTGTTAAACGAATGAATGAGGACGTTTATAAGACTTCCAAATTTACGTGAAGAAAATCATGAAGCTTCTCAAAAGATTGTCATAAAATTACATGCATGCTTTTTATAATTGTTCACATTTCAATTTTTACCTAAAACCTTAAGTACATTTTTGGAATGTACATATATCAAAAAAAAAAAAGAAACAATTTAGAAGCAAAAAGGAGAGGAAGGAAATTACATCAAAGCTTAATGCTTGACATTTTTTAATTTCACCGGAAGCAAGCAGTCAGCTTTTTAAAGGCAATGGAGTGTGAATGTCCACTGGAAGTGCGGGTGTCATGTGTGTAAAATCACTGCTGGCCTGCAGTGGGCTGAATAGTTCAGCTCAGAATCGTGCAGAAGGTGTCTGAGCGTTCACTCATGCATGTTCAACCTTTTGTCGCTTTTGCGGATGATTTTAAAACACCAAACCCCCCCTGTGGCCCTTGAAGAAAACTTGATTTTGCGTTTTCCTTCCACCCGTCCGTACTCCCCTCTCTCTCTCTCTCTCTCTCTCTCTCTCTCTCTCTCTCTCTCTCTCTCTCTCTCTCTCTCTCTCTCTCTCTCTCTCTCTCTCTCTCTCTCTCTCTCTCTCTCTCTCTCGTACAAAGCGAATGATGAAACCCCAGAGGCTGGGATCAGCAGGAATAAAGAGAGATTGTGTAAATTAAATTCCATTTAATCTCCTTATAAAATCATTTACTTAATTCATCTGTCAAATGATGTCAATATGCACAGCGCAGATTTATTTATTCTGCCATGTGTGGCGTGTGTGTGTGTGTGCGGGGAGGCCTTTGTTGCCGTTCAGCCCTGATTTGGCTCCATCCCATTCCCCTGTGTGAGAGGTGTCGTGGCTCGTCCTGCATGTCTTTCTCTTTCCGTGGCCCCTTGTCGATTACTGTCTGGACACTCTTTGTCTTTACGCTGTCCTGCTTATTGGAGACAGAGCATTGCCACTTCCCCTTATTTGAAGGGGTCTGAGGCATTCCAAGGGTAATTAACTCCAGTTAAAAGAGAGCCCCCCTCCCTCCCGGCCCCTCCAGCGGCCTGTCATTCAGGAGAAAAGAGAGGCTGGAGGGGGGGCTGTAAGGAAAAAAGGGAAGCTATATTTTTGCCCTTTTGTTGAAAAGTGCAATAAGTGGCCCGTCGGACGGACGCACACACTCGTGTGAAACGGTCGCACGCAGGTGCCGTGCACATGAAAACACACGGCCGGCCGTGCGCGCAGGAGCCTGATGATGCAGTTGTCAATTTGTGTGATTTATGCATCAATCCATCAGGATTTTCCGAATGCAGTGCGGCAATTTTTTTTACGAGAAGTTGAATAAGGGTTTTAACAGGGCCCACGCCAGCTGAGACTCGCTCGTGTGCGTCAAAAAAAACGACCCACTGCCATTAGCGATTAGACCCCTGCATTGGTGCTTTATTCTTTTCTTTAAATGCAATTCTTAGACCTTCATTTCCCCTTTGCTCCTGTCTTTATTTTGCGAATGATTCGGCCTGCTGCGTGCCAGAGAGTGGCAGAGCAGGCGCGGGCCGGCTGAGAGCCTGTAGGATACAGTTACAGCAGGTCAATAGGGAGTGTGGTCACTCCAGAAGCAGGAGGGTCCACGAGGGCTAGATAAGGGTGTAAAAATAGTGCTTTTAGCCACTGCGTTTTCCACCGGCTCCCAGCAGACTCACTGTTTGTCTCTCGGCATGCGGATAGCTTTTCTGATTCTGTTTTCTCTTCCTGTTTAGTTATTTCTCACCAGAAGATGCATTACAACAAACGAATGTGTCTTTTGTGTGGTGGTTTTGTATGTAAATTTACATCTACTTAAATCTACGTATTTTAGAAGTAGATTAGGACAGTATATAATTGATAGGAGAAAATGATAATTAGAATATAAGATGAAAACCAGAATGGCGATTTTTATGGTACAGTGATACGAGAATTTGCATTTGTCTGTTAATGATCATGTGTGTCTATACATAGGTGTGAAAGTACAGGATGTTCGAAATTCCAGATGGGTAAAGTTTTTCCAGCTCTAGTGGTGTAGATCCGGACTGATTTTTGAATCTCTTTTAGCTCCATTGGTCTTCAATGAAATTTTGAAATTGTGGTGGTCTTGTAGCAGAGAAAGGGAAATGAATCGCCCAGCTGGGTGACGGATGACAGTGAAATATTTCTCTGCGCTTTCTCTTGTCATACATCACGTGTGTGTGTGTGTGTGTTATGAGATCAGTATGATGTGTACCGTGTAAGGCCTGACTCCATGCAGTCAGCTGTGGAGCGTTTCTGGAGGCTGTTCTGGACTGTAACATCTCTTTGAATCGCTGAACTTCAGCACTGTTCAGATAATTAAATCATTTTATTTCTCTATTATCTCATTTTTTTGCATCGCATTGAATTATTTTAGTGCATTAATTCAGGATATTTAGGAAAAAGTGATTTTTCAAAATGTCGCAAACATATGTATTAATATCTATATGCTCACCCTCAGGCCAATTCTTCCCACAAATAAATCAGAATGATGAAATCCTTAGAGAAATATGCTTCATTAGAAATTCAAATGCCGCTAAATCAAGCCTATCCATGTCATTTTCTTCAGCATATTTATGTGCATTATCTTTCTGTGTTTGCTTAACATGACTTTTTAAAACCTGTTTAAACGTGTCCCTTGGAAACGCTTATGTAAACAGAAGCTATTGTTTCTTTTTCATCTATGAATGTGAAAATGCTCGTCTGAGTTAATTCAAACTAGTGTTATTTCGCACTGCTGTAGATTATCAAAGCGATCCATGATGGGAGGCTTCTGAACAAATCTGCTCATGTGCTGTAATTTTTCCAGACAGGGTATGTATGTACCTGACTGCGGCCTGTGGCACTTTTTAAACTCGGGGATAGATGCGCAGTTGCATCACACATGTATGCACAGGTATCAAAGCAACATTTTTTGGCGTACTTTGCGGGATGTAAGAGCAGATCTGTGCATGTTTGTGTGAAGTGTCAGACGGGTGTATTTGCGCTTCATAGCTCCGTTTTCGTCTGCTCCCAGCCCCTGTTGCGCGGCGAACGGCTGCATTCCCGTAGAGATCCGCATGCTTCCAGGCTGGAGCGCCCGCACGCGCTCCGTCATATTAAAGCTGACAGTCCATCTGCTGCGTGGCCGTCCACGCTGCCTGTGCTGCCCCTGCGTGCGAGGCCCGCATTTAATTCCACCTGTCCCGTTCTTCAGCCTTCAACCCCCAAAGGTTAAATCACGTGCTCGTCGACGTACAATAACAAGAATCCCTGCTGACACGGTTTAAAGCCGCCACCGGCAGCATCTGTGGCATGATAGCGCTAGTTGTGTGGCATTTAATAGCTAAACATTTTACTAAAGAAATGATTTTGTTTTTTAAGCATGTGTAAATGGTCATTGCACATGTGTGTTTTAGCTGTTTGGAGGACCGTCTTGTACCAGGTAATTAGTAGGATATGAGTAACCAGCTTAGGTTAGCTGTCAGGAAGGAGTGGAGGGGAGAGAGAGAAATAGGCATGGCATTTACCATGCATGGGGTGGCCGTTCCTGCATAAGAAAGAATGGCACCTGTCTAATCAATCAGACCCCCACTATTCACAGATGGAATAGCAACACATGAGTGAGTCACAGAGCATGGCTGCAACACAGACACGCAGACACACACACTCTTGGCTTAATTCAGCTCATTGTCCTGCGTGTTAATCCTTGTCCGCATGGATGCAGTACTTAGGCGTTTTGACAGTAGCGTGAAATGGGCTCAGGTAGATCCCTATAGATTCATTCTCTCCTCTAGAAGCGCCTGTTTCTCCCACTGATCTGAAGTGACACTCTTGCTTTCATTGTTTACCCTCCTGTTAATTCTGAAAATTATCTTTTAGTTCTTACTGAAATTTAATAATAATAATATATTTAATTAATAAGAATTGTATTATTATTATAAATTATTAATAAAATAATACGAACTAAAAGGAAATATTAATATGTGAATTAATTTGAATCAAAGCTGAGGTAATTCAGTGTAAGCAGCATAATATTGATCTGCTTTCGGTGTGTGAGTTCACTTCGTGGTGAGATTATCAGACAACGTCAATTAATTTTTTTTTTTTTGTGTATTATTATTATTAAGTCTGCTTTTATTTTTATTGTATTTATTTTTTTCTTTTCTCATTTCTTTTCTTTTTTCCCCCCTTATTTTATAAAAATTTGTAAATGTTAGTAAAGACGTAAGTAAATGATTAATGGGATATGCTGTAAAAAAATGTACACATTTAAGGAAACATTTTGACTGTGCTCAATAATCTAGCAATCCTCCCCTAATTAATTTCCATAAATTTGAATAAACTATTTTACTGTACATACACAGAGGCCACGATTACCATGTTATTTACATAGCTCTGTCACATATGCTGTTCTGAAATATCAGCTGTACTTTAGCAATCAAGATGAAATAGATATATTTGTTTTCTGGAAGTGTTCAGAGAATGACTGAGATAAATGTGTGTGTTTGTATATGTACGTGTATATGTGCATGTCTTACTGTGCATGTTTTTCATGTGTTGTGTTTACTTTGATTTACACATTTAAGATGATCTCTTATTCTTCTAAAGAGATTTTATATTATTGAAATGCATGTAAATATGCTTCGAAAATGTATTTACTGTATTGTTAATGTACTCTTTTACATGCAAACCTTCCTTTCTGATTTCTTTTCAGATGTTTAATATTGTGCCACTAAAGTCAAAGAGTTTATTGGCTTTTGATGTAATTTTCATCCTCGTCTGCTGCTGATGTGTCCTGTTATATACAGCATGGCCTGTCAGGAATAAATAAAAAAAAATAGCACACTGCTTTTGAAAGCATCCCAGTAGTTAATGACAGATATTTAATGCCTCTGGCATTGGGAATGCAGTAGTGTGTTTGTGTGTAAAGTCACGTTAAAAAGAGTTGAGAGAAACAGGAGTGTATCAGGCCGTGTGGCGTGTGTGATGTGGGGCTTATCGATTCCGCCGCTCACTCGCCCAGAACTAAAGCCAACACATTACGTGTGTGTGTGTGTGTGCGTTGCTGTTTTTCCACTAAGCTCTGACTGGCTCTTCAGCCTCACTCACACACACACACAGCACACGCTGTTCTGCCCACTGTTTATGAGCTAAACACACACTCTAAAGTGCAGCTCTCCAAAATTAACTCTCAAATTAGCAATGATCGCAACAAAATGATTTTACAATCACTGTTGTTTATTCACAACATACTATTTTCTGAAATAATGAAACGGCTCCTGAAGTTTATGCATTTTTTGTGGTTTTCATGTACTCTAAATGGGATTTAGATACTGAGAAATTGATTAGGCTTCTAATTCCAATAAATAATAAAACTACAATGCAAAAAAGATACAATTAAACTTTATACTTTAAGATGAAAGTGCAAGATTTTTTGAAGAAAAAGACATACAGCAAGAAATGCCTAAACTTCATCGCAGACAGAAAGGAAGACGAGAGCCTAAGAAAGAGAATGGCAGGAAGACCGACAGATCTTCATGGCTGCATTCTCTCAGACAGCCGCTGAAGCACAGCATTAGTTGAGTGATTAGTTTCATCAGTCCGAGTGTGGGGACAGTTGGGGGTTGTGCAGCTCTAATGACATTGAACGTGTTTGCTGAGTTGGAACGGAGAAGGAGAATTAGGGGCCTCCTCTGTTAATTAGAGAGTGTGGCAGACTCATACACTCAACCGCACTGCCTGTGGCTCGTACCACTTCACTTCCTTTACTTTTATCGTACAAAATCTTCAGAATCTTCAAAAATGTGTGTTTCAGAAATGTTCATCTTTGATGAAAAGCTGTAGTTGTTTCAGCTGAGAACTTGAAGTGTGTGTTAATGTGAACAGGTGTTTTTCTTAGGTACTTTTGTTGCCTCAATTAATTTCCATAAGTTTGTTTAAAGATTTTGCTGTACTAACACACAGGCGAGGGGTTATTTACATACAGTAAGTCTGCGACAGACACTCCTAAGACATCTGCGCAGTCTTTTGTCGCTTTTCTTGTTTTGGAGTGTTTCCTATGTATTTATGTGATAACCTGCAGCTGCGACTTTGTTAAAACCAAGATTTTGATTAGTAAAGACGTCAAACTTTGCCCTTGAATCGCTACTTAAATGCTAAACGACCTATGTGTAGCAAATGAACTCGTACAGGTGTGACGTCAAACCTTTCGCAGTACGTTTGTTTTTATATGGCCATTTCTCAACCCGTTCTGAACCCTCTGATTCGGCGGGTCCCGTAAAGCTACAGGCTCTCTCGCCCTGATGTGTACAGGGGCCACGGGCGTCCGCTGATCTCCCCGATTCCTTCTTTTATCTGCTGACACCCCAAACTTGTTAAATCGGAGGCCGGTAGATTGATGAGTCTGTGCATTAAAAAACGTCAAGGCAGGTTTCAATTAGGTTTTGGCATTAACAAAAGCTAGCCCAGGTTTACCCTCTTCCGATCCTCAGCGGAGACGCGCAGTTACAGCGGATCCATTGAAGAATGCCGGTCAGGAAAAGAAGGAATATTTTGTCTCACAGTGTGCCGAGCTGCGTCACTGTCTGTCAGCAGTTAATGGCTCAATGGTTCTTTATCAGAATTCCTCAGTCCATCTCTCTGACCCTCGTTTTTATTCCTTTTCTTGCTCTCCCTTTTGTTGTAGAATGAATTTATCAAAGGCCCAAGTTAATAGCGAAGATAAGTACGCCAAATGCGGCGCTTGGAGAACACAACAGCAATACGACATCGAGGCCAGTCACATGCGTGATGCACATGCTCTATATAACCAAAGGTAAGGAAAGGACCAATAATAGTGTCATCAAAAGCCAAAATCAGTTCTGGTGATTATTGTTTTATTTCTTTGTGTGTTTGTTTGTGTTTTGCCTGCCCAGCTATTATTTATCCATGCTTGCTTCATTCAAGTCAGTGTCTTAGTCTAGTTTGTGTAATGTATGTGCGTGTTGTTGTCAAGTCGCAGGATGTAACTGTTGCATGACGTACCCATTGTGCACTAAACACCTGGTCCTAGGCTGTTCCCTGGGCCTATAACTGTGCCAAACACTGATACAAAGTAATCAGGTCATATTCATTTGTGTTATTTCTCAATGTGTGTGTGTTCATGGAGGGACATTTGTACATCTGATTCTGCCTTGAGCTTCGGTGTTGATTAGATAGATAGATAGATAGATAGATAGATAGATAGATAGATAGATAGATAGATAGATAGATAGATAGATAGATAGATAGATAGATAGATAGATAGATAGATAGATAGATAGATAGATAGATAGATAGATAGATAGATAGATATTAGATGGATAGATATGCTCAGATTGAATATAGTTGTGGGTTTAGAGGGATAGGGAAAGTTTATGTTGAGTTTATGGGTATAGGTTGGAGAGGTTGCCGGTTGTCGTCCCCTCCAGATGCAGAGGAATGTGTTAAATGCTTCAAGGATTCCGATTAGCATATAAATTTAGATGTATGAAGATCATTGCTCCGATCACGAGTCAGTGAGTTTTATCTAGATTTAGTGGGGGCTGATTTGCGTATAAAATACAGCCAGATGTGACCAGTTAAGAGTCCTCACCAAGCCCTTCTATCTCTCTCTCTCTCTCTTTCTCTCTCAGGCCATCTTCTGTAAAATGTCTTTGTTTGACTGTTGTAATTTCAGGTCATTTATGGTTATTACTTTAGAGGTTATGGAAGGGTCAGAAAGAAAAGTGCCTTCACTTCTTTGATTTATTTATTTTCAAAAGGTAAATTTTATTTTCTTTGAAATATAAATTAAATTTCAGTAGCATTTGTATTTCTTCTTTCATTTTAATTTACAAATATTTTTTTAAAAAAAAGGTGCTTCAAAGAAACAATATCATTAGTCACAGTATGCAAAGCATTGAATTGTAATGTAGGAATGGCTGTATGTCACTTTAAACACTCAACTTCCTCTTTGTCGTCATCCGCTGATGTTTTTTGGGTTTAGTTAGGTGTGTGTCCTAAGGCAGGATTTTTTTAACAAACCTTTTAAAAGAATGTGACTGTGCTTTGACAGGGACTCTCAAATGTATTACAAGGATTGGATTTGGGACAGGTTAGTCTGGGTCAAACCAATTAGGCTCCATTCGCATGCAAGAAGTCTTTTCCGCTCTAAGCCAATCAGGATCACGTTACTGGCATAGTCTGAGCTTGTGGCTCTCTATAGACAGCCCTGCCAGGCACTACCGTGTCACGCCATGGGCCCGAAGCAAAGCATGTTGGGAGCTGGAGGACATGGCTCTCACCCTGAACATCCACATTGGTCACAGCACAGTTTGAAATCTTGTGTGTATTCATTTTAAGGTGCTTAGATGTGGGTCAGTGGTGTTAATTCAGGGAGGAGGGCAATGCTAACTGCGTTGCATTTAGAAAATTCAATTTTGCGGATGATTTTCCTCCAATGCTAGGCACAGACATGTCAAACACATTCACACACATGCCAAACAGGGCAGGATGTTTTACTAGCAGCTGTATCAGAGGATTTGAGGTCAGTCATGCATAGATTCACACACATGCACTCCTGTAAGCGTACATTCATGCAGCGATGGTCATCAAACCGGTACTGGCACGCATGCTCACATGCATAGACATATGATACACAAACACACATTGTTTACAGTTCAATATGCCAGCATAAGATTCATAAAGATTCATGGGAAAAACATACATTAATACAAAAGGGCGCAGGTTTGTTGGGAACCAGGAGAACTTTGAACGCTTGTGGAAGCCTGCTCAGAAAAATAAATCCCTTTACTGAAATAGGCGAACACCCACCTTCAACACTTCCTCACACACATGCACACACCTTCCGCTGATAACTCTCATCTCAGAGCGGAGTGAGAGAGACAGAAGCCTGGTCCTGGGGTCAGGGGAAAAACCTCTCCATCTGCTGGTGAGCTGTTACCCAGATGCAAGCCATTTCCCAGATAAACGGAATCAACTGATTTAGCTCCTTGGCCTCCAGAGGCACTGTTTTATTTATATGATCAAATACTCGGAAAATGATTAATTTGTCAAGGGAGCGGCTTGTTACTGTAAATTTAGCGGGTTGCGTAATAAACTAGATTGCTCTAAACGCAGATGGGAAATGAAGGGCTTTTGGGTTTATAACTGGGAGGATTATTAGACTAGAGGTGTTTTATTTTGTAGTATTGCAACTTCAAATCTTTCAGGAGTCTTGGGGACGAATGTGATGGTCAGGGACCACTTGTTGGAAATAGCTGGATGTTTTATTGAAATGCTGTGTCTTAGTGATAGATGTGGTGTTTGTATGACATTTTTCAATTAACATTTTTTTGTTCATTTATTTCAAATTTGAATAATGACAAAACAATATTGCTATTATTGTGAATACTATTGATACCTTAAAATAATTAAAAATATAAGTATAGTTATGATATTCTATTTCAAGAATATCAAGAAAAACATATTCAAGAAAAGATTTCAATTTTCACATTAGCAGTACTTAATGAAAAGGTGGTGCTATTATCATTACTGGTTTTATATTTTAAATGTTTATTCTTATTATAATTATAATATTTTATTCGGATAATATGTATACCGGTAGTTATATTCTGTTGATCTATTGCAATTATGAAAATAATAATCATTTATAATAATTACAATACACACACAAACACACACATATGTGTATAATATATATTGTCAGAGACAATTATAATTTATTTATTATTATTTATATTAACACATACATAGTAAATTATAAATACATAGTCAATTATTATCGTCTCTGACAACTATGTTAATAAGGGCTATACTAAGCAATAGTATAGCTGTGGTCGTTCTGTCAGTGGAGGTAGAGTGATGTTATAATCTTGATCATCAAAGCTTTAAAGATGCTGAAAAATGATTTGACTATTTGCGCCTCTTCTTTCACCCTAATGAAAGTGCCTGTAGACATGGAGGGTGTTTTGTTCAGGGTTGGGGACCGGCTCCGTGCAGAGAGAGAGAGAGAGAGAGAGAGAGAGAGAGAGAGAGAGAGAGAGTGGCAGAACGGGTATTACAGAGGTAAACCCGATTATGGGTGGAATGTGAATTAGATTTTGTAACAGATGGTGGTGTTGAAAATTTAAGATGCTTTGCGGCAGGGGAAGGCGACAGCAGCTCGGCGCGTCTCCATGTGAGCGGGGGTGATAGACAGCTATAACTCAGGACAATCCTGCCTTGACAGCCAATTTCAAGAATCTGATCTGGTTAAAGACATGGCTTTCACCGGTTCACTCACCAAAAAACAACCACCATTTCTCTCTCCCTCCCTCTTTTTTCCCCACTCTCAGCACCTCTTTTACACGCTTGTCATATTTCCTGGAATAAAATCCTCTTTAACCATCTGTTTAATAGAATGTGTTTTTAATCTCCATTTTTTTTTAGTCCCGTTATTTTTTTATTATATTTACGTGCAATTTCATTTCTTTGAGACTGCGGCTCATCCTCGCTTATCTGCTCTCATGTCCTGTTGGGGTTGAATAGATGGGTGCTGCGCTCCAACAGCGGTAAAGCAGTGATTTTAAGCGTATTGCTTATTGAAAAATGCCAAAGCTTATTTGCTCTGCCCTGTTCTTTAGGGCCTGTCACTGCCGAAGAAGCAATCGCTGGCTCCCACCTGCAATAACTTCAGATAATGAAATAATGATCACATCAAACTTCACAAGTCCTGTTTTGTCTTTCAAACTCTAGTTTGACCTCTTACATTGACAGTGATTCAGCTAGACTGGCAGTTTTTGCTGAAATTCTTACAAATAATTATAAAACAAAATGCATACAGAACAAGATATGCATGTGAGTGTACATGTGTGTTGTTTGTGCTGTTGAGAGGGACATCTTACCTGATAAAGCAGAACACTTATCTGCCCGCACAGGAAAATGACCTAAATCATCAAGATTTTCATCTACGAGTGTTCCAGGGACTGTCAAACACACACACACACGACTCTTATCGAGTTTGGACATCTTAACCCTGCACTGTTGTCAGTGAGAGAGAACAGCACATTCTTTTTGCATTAAAATGACATTTAAAATGGATAAAACAGAAAGCCAATACATTATTTAAAGATTATAATTTGTCTACCCCCTCCCCCCATACATTTTCATTTGCATAAAGAATTTGCAAAATGTAAATATATGTTCTTATCTCTCTACATTTACTCTATTGTATTAGGCTGCTGATCCTCTAGTATTTATTACACAGCAGAGCGTTAGCTCCTCATCTCCACTGGCCCGCCGCTGGCATTTTTACGGCAGCTCGCTCCATTGTACAAATGTGTTTTTGTCATTATCACATTGATTGCATGTAATCAGAGGTGTTATTTTGCAGGCGTCCATCGACAATGAAGTGAATTACTACTTTCCAACCCAGTAATGTTATAACAATTGATCTGCCCATACAGCCGGAAAAGGCAACCTGTTTGGCACGTCTGTATTTCTCATGCGGGAACAAGAGAAATCAGTATCCCTTCTGTAAAGAGGCAAATCAGTTCCTGTTTTTTTAATGTTTAATTGAATATCCTACAACTTTCTCTAGGGCAAATGTGCTTTTAAATCACTCTAAAAGTGAAACAAATGTTTAGGTTTCTTTTTTTATATAATTAAATGCAGTTATTAATAGGAGTGAAATACATTGGGGTCCAAAAAGAAGATCACTATTAAAAATGCTTCTTTTTTCCCCCAGTGTATATTATGTCATTAGCATGAAAAGTTGTATGAATAAAAAATAAAAAGAGATAAAAAAATCTTTTTTGAAATAAATTTGTGCATTTTTTTTTTTTTTACTTTTACCCCCTTTTACCCATCACTGAATGTTTCTAATTCAATTTGTCATTTTTTTATATAAAATCCTAAATCATCTAGGTTTAAATGAAGAAGAAAAAATATACATATTTTCAATGTAGTCCCAGAATTTTTGGACCCCATTGATAAATAAAGATATTTATGTTTTTAAAACAATTTCCCACACATCTTTGGCTCTGAACATTCAGTAGCTCTCATGGGCAGTTCTTTTCCAGCATTTTGTGCCGCCTCCAGCTATCCATGATCACACAGACTTACTGCTTCCGGCAAAGAGAGATAGAGTTTCTCTCTCGCTCTCTCTCGCTCTCTCTCAGTGGCTGCACCTTAATGCAATGATTATATGTTTGCCTCTATAGTTGTCAGAGCACTGGATCAAACAGGCTAATGACACCTTGTCATTGCCAAGTGGCTGTGTTTTCCAAAATTGTTTTCCTGCTGATTTGTGACACCTTGCCTCAGCACATAAAATAACAGAGAGTCGACAGAGGAAAACAAAAGGAAAACAATAATGTCTTTGGTCACAGATCCACTTTGAATTCTAACTTTCAACAAATAGATGGCTTAAATATTTGATCAAGAATACTCTTCTGTCCTTTGTACAGTGACGGCACATTTTGTGTTACTCTCTTGGAAATGACTTTTCTGTCAAGTTTTTCTCATTACTGAAACGTAATAATTATTGATCATGATTACAGACCGTTATAAAGTACAAATAAAAAAGCATATTGAGATTTGTTTAGAATTTTCAACCCAGCCTTACTGATGCTTCAAAGTCTGTAAAGCATTCTTGCCATTTTTAGCCAGCTAGAACTTTACCTTGTCAACTTATTTAAATCAGCAGAATTCATTTTTGCTTGTTTTAAAAGACGGTGCGTTTCATTTTGCCCCAGTCACAGACTTAAACTAGAACCTTAACACAATGAGGTGGTATAATTTACAAGAAATTTACGAACTCGAGCACTATTTATAATGTTGAATCACAATAATGTCCCTAACAATAAAGAACAACCGATTATGTCTCGTGCTGTATTTTTTTTTAATCTTGTCTCTCGGCTGACTATTGCCTGCCTTTTTTCTACCCTTCCACTTAACGATTATTATTTCCATTCATAAGCTTAAACTAAATTCCATTGCTTTTCAGCATAAGAACTCCTTTTGTTAATGGCACACTGTGGGATTGAAGCTCGGCGCCAGGCAGTGGTGAAAACAGATAAAATCATTACCTCTCAAATAGTCTCTTCTCTGTCGGAAAGGGCTTTCTTTTCTTCTAAAATATAGGCTTTAGAATTCCATTTCTCTTAGAGCTAATGTGAATTTTACTGCCTCTAATTTTGAATTCAAGTGCGGCCTAGAATAAAAATCCACCATCTGACAATTGAATTTATAGAGAGTTGTGAATATTGCAGGTTTGGATTAATAGAGTCATAGAATTTCAAAGAGCAGGAGAAAGAGAGCGAGAGAAAGAGAACGCTAATAACTTTCAGTCAAAGTTATAGAGCAGGGTGTCTCCTGTTGAGAGTCACTGTAAAGCACGAGGGGCTCTTACAATGCTGGCCTCTTCCTCTTTTGTCACCCGCCGTTTTGACTTCACACTCACTGTGTCACTCAGGACAGGAGGCGGGTTTCTCAGCCGCCCCACAAAAACCAGTTTGTCTCCGTCACCCAAAATAGAATGAGAGAATGTGTTGTGAGTGTAAACAGTCACTGGTGCTTGTTTTCACTGATTTTTAACCGGCTTTACGCTGTGTATATATATACACAACATGCATCCTTGACATTACTGGAATGTTCTAGAATACCTTTGTGGCCCTCCGCACACCCCAGGACACCTGTCTGTGTGTGCTGTGAATGTGTGTCAGTGATGCATCAGTGGAAACGTAATAGGAGCTTTTTCATAATCGATAGCCTCTCAATGCAATACACAGAAACAGGTGCTTTGACTCAGCACATTTTGGCCTTTTACACCAATGCATTAATAGCTGGAAGTTCACCATTGTTTTGTTTACATGGTTAAATATTTAAGTTCTAAACAAATTTTATATAAATTGAATTACTGAATATATATATAAAAAGGAAGTAAAAAAAAATGGTTTATAGTACTAAATTGATTAGTCCTATGTATAAACACATTTTATATAAATTGAATTACTGAATATATATATATATATATATATATATATATATATATATTAAGGAACTTTAAAATAATAATAAAAAATGGTTTATAGTACTAAAATGATTAGTACTATCATGTATAAACAAATTTTATATAAATTGAATTACTGTATATATATATATATATATATATATATAAGGAAGTTTTGAAAAAATAATTTAAAAAATGCTTTATAGTACTAAAATATTTTCACTGGTCTCACCAAAAAATATATATATATATATAAATATATATATATATATATATTAATTTATTAACTTTTTATTAAAGTGCCATCTAGGTCTTTACCATGCCAGTTTCAAAATTAGTTCATAGTACAAAAATATATTTAACTTGTTGCATTTCTCTATAATCCCATAGTCTATAATCCCTATTTTTTTTTTTTTTATATGTCTTATTCTGTAAAATGTCTTTGAACAATAAGGTGGTCTGGTTTCTTTAAAGATCTCTCTCATTCACTCTCTCTCTCTCTCTCTCTCTCTCTCTCTCTCTCTCTCTCTCTCTCTCTCTCTCTCTCTCTCTCTCTCTCTCTCTCTCTCTCTCTCTCTCTCTCTCTCTCTCTCTCTCTCTCGCTTTATGGGCCTTAGAAGAAGTCATCTTTTACAAGCTGACCGGATTTTAGAGCCCTCATTTGGAAGCGGGCTTCCTTAATTAAAAAGACCTTTGTGTGGTCTTCCAGACTGCCTATTTTATTTGTCCCCCTCCATCTCCATGTTAAAATGGTCCTGATGTGTTGTCTGTATAAATCCTCCGTGATTTTCTTTCTGTCTCTATATAAAGTCTTTGTCCCTCCGCCATCATCTCTCTTTTTACACACCTCATACCGCTAATGCATTTAAAGGAAAAAAGAGAGCGCATTTAAGTGTGACCTCACACTCAGTCTTTATGAAATCACAACCCCCAAAACCTTTGAGGATTTTCGAGAAACAAACAGTCCCTGAACGATCACATTTTGCTAAACGTAGATATTGAAGTGCTGCTAATTGATGCGGCTGTGTTGAAGTGCCGCCCTCCACCCCCATACGCCCTGCAGAACCCAGCTCAGGGTCTTCTGGATTGTTGACAGGGGAAACGGTTAATCCACTCTTGCAGGCCTTGAAGCCTCCTGTAAGACAGAGCAGAGATATCTATTAATTACAGCGCTCATTAATAGGCCTCTCTCCCAGGGCTCTGTGGGTGGAGGGGTGGTTCAACTAAATGGGTTGGTGGTATCGAGCGATGTGGGGTGGGGTGGGGTGGGTGGGTGGTAGTGGTCGGCCTGCTCTTTTGTTTGCCTTTGAAGAGTCTCTGCTTTTGACTGTGTGGGTGTCTGTTTGTGTTACTGGATTGATACTGGATGTTTGTGTCTGTCTAGCTGATTTTTTTGTTTTCTGTCCGTCGATGCGTACGAGCGCGTGTGTGCGAGTGTGTATGGTGACTGGCCACGGGCGAGGATGATGGAACTGCTTTGCACCTCCGCACTGATTAGAGTCATGTAGAACAAGTTGATATTGACTGGAAAGTGAGTGATGGCGCTGAGCTATCCGTACTGTCCCTCTCTCTTCCGCCCTGCAGACGCTCATCTGTCATGGTGCATTTGATCACCGGATCCCACCCCTTGATCCACAATCACAAGAAAAGGCCTTTAGCACTTTTTTTTTGTGGAGATGGAAGATTTTGGCACAGAAGAAATGACAGGCTTTAACTTATACTCTGTAACTCGACAATACATAATTTCCTCTCAAATGAAAATTAATCTGAATGGTCAGCATTGATTTTAAGTTCAACTTTCTTTTTTATATATATATATATATAAATGAATAAATGTAATATTTATTATAATTTTATTTGTATATTTTAATTATTAGTGTATAATTAATTCTGTCCAAAATCCTTTATTGTAGTGTGCATATAGATAATCATAAATATATCATTATGATTTGACAAGGCAAACAAATGCCTGAAATGATTTAATGCAGAGTATGTATATGTATGTAATACGACAGGATCTAAAACTATTAGGACATGACTGAGTTGGTTGTGCCACATTTCTTTAGAACTCAATTGGCTGCACACTATGCTAGAGTAGCGATGTTAGCTCTCCTCTTTACAGCCGTGTAGATATACAACCACTCAGACACTTTAGTGAGACCCAGGGGACCGTGGCACACTGGCTCTCATATGCCTCGCCTCTTATGTTTCCTCTCAGAGAAGTCATTAACATGCTAAAAAACTAGAATTCTGAATTCTCAATCAGGGGCTTTTTTTAGCTGCTGAATCCTCTGTTCTCTCAGGCTAAGGCGGAGGTGGACCCATGTGCAGAATGGAGAGTAGCTCTTAAGGGCTGGGGGGCGGCTGGGTTGTATGTTTCTATTTCTTTTGTTTTTCTCAATTGCTTTGTGTTGGCGACACATTTTTAAGTTGCCCCTGCTAAAAAGACCATCTTAGACTAACATGATTTACTATATTGCTAGCATCTAAGGCACCGTATGTTGGTCTTTTCAGCACGGACATTAAAGAAAAGTTCTCAGGCAATCATTTTCTTAGTTTCCATACTCATTTACTGTTGGTCATGTACACTAACGCTTCAATATTTGTTTTATGTTTTATCCTTGTAGGCTGCTCTGCAGAATGTCCAGCAAGGACCGCCACATTGAGTCGAGTTGCCCCTCCTACATAAAGACGGAACCTTCCAGCCCCGCATCACTGACGGACAGCGTAAATCACCACAGCCCCGGCGGCTCCTCAGACGCCAGCGGTAGTTACAGCTCCACCATGAACGGCCATCAGAACGGTTTGGACTCACCCACTCTTTACGGCCCAACTGGTGCTCTGGGTCCCAGCGGAGCCGGAGCCAAGCGTTACGAGGACTGCTCCAGCACCATCACAGAGGACTCGCAGATTAAATGCGAGTACATGCTGAACTCCATGCCCAAGCGCCTGTGTCTGGTGTGCGGGGACATCGCCTCCGGCTACCACTATGGCGTCGCCTCCTGCGAGGCCTGCAAGGCCTTTTTCAAGAGGACCATTCAAGGTTGGCTTTTACCCTCCCTCAGCTAGAACTTCAGCTAGGTTCAGGTGGCAGACCAGGGTGTCAGAGGGACTTAGTCAAAGTGCAATACCTAGAATCAGCACAAATCAATTCCATACATCCAACGTCCTCTGGCTTTACACCACCTAAGCAGCTTTCCGTCCAGTATACATGTAAAGCCAAAGGGGGTAATGCTCTGGCTTATTAGTCAATAGTATGTGCTACAAAGAAATAAACATTTCCTGCTTCAGATTAACAAGCTTGATCAGTTATTTCAAAGCGGAGATTAGCAGTAATTGAATTTACCGGGATGTAACTCATCTGCTAGTGTATAGAAGGGACAGTAAAGCTCTGAGGAACAAAGTAGGTGCTAGGGATCGACCGATATGGATTTTTTAGTGCCGATACCGATACCGATTTTTTTCTCATCAGCCTTAGCCGATGACCGATACGGGCTGCCGATTTTCTTGAGCCGATATTTGGAGCCGATACATTTTGCTCCCTCAATTTACATCATAAAAATGACATGATGTTAAAAAATGTTACAGGTCTCAATTTAATAAAAGTAACATTTATTTAACGAAAAAAATCAATATTTAACGAATAGTAAAAACATGTGAGGTAGAACAAGAACAAGTAGATAAACAATATTTAACAAATATTAAAAACATGAGGTAGAACAAAAAAAAGTTCACTGCTGAAAATAAATATTTAAGCATAAATAAAATAATTACACTATTGCACACAGTAGCAACCAGCATAATAAAGTGCACAGTGCACACTGTACTTCATTTTAAAAGTAACGAACTATTTACTGCCATGGTTTAAATTTTTCTACATAAAATAAAATGAGCATGTCTAGTCTCTAATATCACTGCGATGGCGAGGGAGACACACACCACACGCGTCCAAACCTCAGCCAGGTGGTCGCTGAATAAATCTTCCACAAAAAGCACGGAACAACGTTGGTATTACTTAATCCTATGACCAGTGTTCGTAACAGCTACCGTACGCATACTAGGGCTGTCAAAATTGCTCAAATGGCGTTTGTATATTCCCTTCAAAAAAACATATTTGAACATATCGTCGTGCATTTGGTCAATGACGCGCATTACGTCAATAACAGGACAAATTAATACAAAGAGACATAACTACTAGTATTAAGTAGCTTATTTGAGTTTAAACATATTTGACAACGTATTACTACAAAAAAAACGAGTAAATCAACTAATGGCCAAGACCGCAGAGCTCACTCTGGCTCGCCCGGACTCGCAGGCGCACTCTCTCTCTCTCTCGCACTCACCCTCACGCTCTCCGCGCATACCGGGTTAAATGAACAACAACAAACAAATGTTGAGTGCTGATCAAGAGTTTTGTGCAAGCAATTTAAGGTATACAGCAGGCTTCATTCAGTGATTGAAACAAATACATTAATTGAAGTTTCACAGTACATAGAACCGACACTGAGCGCTCCGAGCGAGCTGTGCTGTGGTAACGTTAGTCTGCTACCGCGGGCATGTTTTTCCACATTCGAATATTAATTTTCACCTTCAAAATTCAGTTTTTTGAAACTATTCGAATATATATTCGTATTTAGAATATTCATTGACAGCCCTAATGCATACTGATCGGATAGCCTACAGCTATTTGCAGCTCCCTAAATACAATGGCAAGCAAGCAGTTTTATAGACGAGTCATTCCCGTTTTCCATTTGGACCCACAAACTTGCTTAGCTATATAGTTGCAACCACATAACAGTTATAGAGCAACGTGTTTCCATTTTCAAAGTGTTTGACAATATTTCAGCAGTCAAACAGTTAAAAGATGCTTTGAAAGTTTAAAAGTTACCGTTATCTTGAAGCGCAGGTTGCACTCTGCTAGTGGGGGAGGGACAGTGCAGGGTCTGCACGTGAACTGCAGCGTCTCCAGCAGCACAGAGCTGCCTGTGGACGCCTGTCTATAAATAATGCCGGGAAAAAACTATCGGCGAACGCAGCAGCCGCATATCGGCCGATTCCGATACACGTAAAAACCGCAAATATCGGCCCGATATATCGGCTGGCCGATATATCGGTCGATCACTAGTAGGTGCTGAATAAATGGGTCAAAAATGTGCTCGGCCTGAACACAATCCAAACCCCCGAAAGGTGGGAATTTGACATATCGGTATGTTTCATCCCATTACCCAATAAAACTCTTGGTGATTTTCAAAAACATCCCATCCAGCTGGACATTTATTGAGTTCTAGACTGGCAGGTTTTTGAGGGAAGGAATGGGGTTGTGGAGTTCAGGGATGCAGGGACGTCAGGACAGCGGTTTGGGTGAGGGCGCTGGGACAGGCGGCAGCATGGGCGCCACGGCCACTCAAATCACTGGCAGCTGGCATTCTGGTGGCACTTCTCCAATGCCACCTGACAACCTGCATCTATCACCTCCCAATTGAGCCACTCGTAGCCAGGCAGTGGCAAAATACTGGAGGGGGATACCAAGAGTGCAACCTCAGAAAGCCAAAAACATTCCCAAACCCGTTCCTTACTTCATTGCCGTAGCGGAAGGTCAGCTCAAGGTCATGTTGTCGCCATTCTCTGGAAATGAGCTCCATTGGCATTTCACTGCAACTGATGAATGATGGAAGTGTAGCGTTTAGTATGAAGACAGGCAGAGGAAGAAAGCGCCTGGGACATTTTATATCTTATTTGAAACCTCTAGTCGGGCACTTGACTGATAGACAATGGACATTGCACTAATCGACTGCCACCTAACTCAAATCACATCACTCTATCCTGTCAGCGAACACACACGCACACACACACACATACAGCCTCCTTTCTACTGTGTTGATAACCTGGACACAGCACTCAAGCCATTGGCATTCAACTACTGGGAGGGAAGCACCTATATTAGATTGGCAAGGATTTTTCCCTCCTTAAACATTCCCAGCTGGTTAAGACCACTCAACCAGCCTCATCCCTCATGCGAAGCACCTTTCAACTCCACACACATTCCACCTGCACAGATTCCTCCCAATCCGAAGACCCTAATGGATTCTGGAGATTACCTGACTAATGAATATTGGAGCTCAGTTTAATGGACATGCATACTTTAAATACTGTTTCCTGTTGAATTAGCAGTCTTGAGCATTTAGCCCCCCTGCTCGTGCTGCTAATCTGCTTTTTAATGAGGAAACATCAGTTCACAGAAGAGAAGTCAATACAAATCAGTGTTTACAAAGTCTGATTAACTCTGAAATATTTCATCAGTGTGGAGGTCCCAGACGGGCCCTATGTTAATTGCATGTGTGCGTGTGTGTGAGAGTCTGTTTCAGTGTGTGTGTGTTCTAATAGTTATTCTATAATGCAAATTATCTCCCTACGCTGAGAGTTTTAGCACTGCCATAAGCTGTTCCAAACCCTAAATTTTTTATATTAAATTACTATATCTGGCAAGTTATTCTCATAATTCAGCCAAGGAACTGCTTAAATGCTTTTATTGTGTGCCAGATTACTCATCAGATTCTATTTGTGTGCTATTGCAAAAACAAGCATATATCATTGCCCTTTTCCCCTCTCACTGCATCATAATACTCAAAGAACACGCTGTAATAGTCGACTTTATGGCAGGGCTTGCAAGAGGAAACTTATGGTTCTCTGTGCTTTGTTTATGATGGGGATTGGGAGCATGAGGAGCTGTGTTAGTTGTCACTAGGTAATTGGAAGTTCACTTAGAGGTGAATTGTGACCTGCAGGTCTTTGTTTAGGTTTAGTAAAGTCTGCCTGCCTGCCCACCTTCTTCACACAGTTCCATGACACATGACCTCTGAGGAGAGCCAGTGGCGCTTTCCTGCATGACATTTTAAACTCATTGCACACACATATATAGATATGATGGGGTGCATTTGCTGTGTTTCAGTCACTTCTTTTGGACTGACAAATTGAACTTGGCTTTGCACTCACAGTATTTTATTGGTTGAGAGTATAATGTTTGAAAATGTTAATTATATTTGAATTGATATGTATAGCAATTTTATTCAACACAGGTGCATTAATTGGTCAAAAGTGACAGTAAACACATTTCTAATGTTCTTTATAATGTTAAAAATTTTAATTTCAAATCCATTTTCTTTTTAACTTTCTATTCTGAAAAATACATATATCTCAGTTTCCACAAAAATATTAAAGGGATACTCCACCCAAAAATGACAATTCTGTCATCATTTACTCACCCTCAAGTTGTTGCAAACCTGTATGAGTTTCTTTCTTCTGCGGAACACAAAAGAAGATATTTTGAAGAACGATTGGAACCAAACAGTTGTTTGGCACCATTGACTTCCATAGTAGAAAAAAAAATACTATGGAAGTCAATGGTGCCAAAGTTCCAATCGTTCTTCAAAATATCTTCCTTTGTGTTCAGCAGAAGAAAGAAACTCATACAGGTTTGCAACAACTTGAGGGTGAGTAAATGATGACATCATTTTCATTTTTGGGTGGAGTATCCCTTTAAGCAACACGACTGTTTTCAACTGTGATAATAATAAGAAATGCCTCTCGAGCATCAAATCAACATATTAGAATAGATAATTTTTGATGAAATAAATGTGGCCTTGGTTAGCCTAAGAAATTTAAATCAAAAACAAACGAACAAAATTCTCACCAACCCCAAGCTTTTATTTTATGCAAATGATCAAATTTGATATATGATATAATGTAATGCATGATATTTCTCGCTAGATTGCTACAGAAATGAGGTTTTGGTTGGCAGTCATTAAACACTTTCTGTTCCTTCCCTCTACATGCCTCGCCACAGGAAACATCGAGTACAGCTGCCCCGCCACCAATGAATGTGAGATCACCAAACGCAGAAGGAAGTCCTGCCAAGCCTGCCGCTTCATGAAGTGTCTGACCGTCGGCATGATGCGAGAAGGTGAGTGATAAAAAAGGGTCGGGGAGGGGAAGTAAATGAACATTTTATCCGTTTTCCGACTGTATTTCTCACTCTTATCTACTATTCTGAGAAAATGTACTGGTTTCTTTGAGGAGGAAGAAAAGTAGAACAGGTCTGGAATAAAGTCAAGGTTGAAACTGAAGGGCCGGTTGGCCTCCTGCCCTGAGGGCCACTCACGGTCAGCCAAACACCATCTTTTTGTCTCGGCCTCAAGGCCCAGTTCTAACTAACAAGACTGGTTATTATTTAGAGAGATGGCCTGTGAGGCATTTTCTCAGAGGTCTGCCAAATGGACAAGCAGTTATTTTGAAACCGCCGCTCTCCTGTGGAAAGGCTCTGGCTCTCCAGGCTTTCCTGCCTTTGATGTTAAAAGTTTACAGAGGAGCTGCCTGAACTAGCCTTTAACCTTCACGCAGAAAAAAGTCCTTTCTGATATCTTCAGCAGCTGAAATGCAGCACGGCATCTCGTTTCCTCGCTTTTCATTCAGGTGGACAGGATGTGTTTTGTCTGCCTATGAAAGAATCGCCGTCATAGGCGGGAGAGGGAAGATGTGAGAGAGAATGAGAGGTAGGCTATGCTCCCGTCACTCACAGCACAGGAACTCTTAGAGACGCAAGTGTGTGTGGACACAAACGCTCTGGCCCTTTAAGTCACGATCAGGTAGACTGCACCTTATTCACCAAGACACGAGACCAGACACACACACACAAGCCCTGCGGCCAGCCTACCTTCTGCGGACCTGAGTGGTCAGCTCACATTATACCAAAACAACACATCTGTGGAGCAACAGCAGGCACAAATGCCCCACAGGTTCACATTTGTTTGCGTTGAGCGTGAGAGCGTGCGGCGCATATGCATGTTTTTGTCCGTGTGAAATGTTTCTTTTTTATATTATCCGTCTTTCTTTTTCTCACACATACGCGCACACACTAACACACACACGCAAATGGCAATCTCATTCAACGCTATTGTTGCCCTGTGCAGGGACATTTGCCTACACGGCCGGTGTCGCTGACAGGTAGGTAATTGATAAGTAGAGGCCTGTTTTCAGAAAGGTCTGAGGGATGTAGTTGCATGTTTGATATGGCATCTTCTCCCATGAGCACCCAGACAAATAGCAGCCTTTTGTTCTTGCTGCTAGCCACCCATACACACATATATCAAAATGGCACCCAATGGCACAACCATTTGTTGTAAAGTGCTTGAATTTAATACAGAGGTCCCCCTCTACATATGAATAAGGGTCATTTGAAAAATTGATGCATCAATTTTCTTATTTTTCCACAACATGTTTACTTTACACACAAAGAACGAAGAAGAAAAAAACACATACAAACAATTCAATTCAACAATAGATATTCATATAAAATATGTGAATTGCTTTTGTTTGGTCCCTCACAGTTTTTATTTTGTTAGTCAGTTTTATGACAGAAGCTACTTTTGAACGTTACACTAGCACCTATTTCTGGTTTGTTGTTTTCACAGCCTTTAGACACATACAAACACAATTCAACCTTCTGACTATTTGTATAAAATCTGTGTAAAATGCCATGCTTTTAGTCAGATTTACATCATTTTATTTGCTGAATGTTGTGCTAACTTGTTTTCACAGTGTTTTATACACAACAAACACATACATACTGTACCAACACCGTTTCACCTCATGGCTATTCATGTAAATAGGCTATTTAAATTACTTGTGTTTGGTCCCTCACATTTTTTGTTAGCATTTTATTTTGTTGTTCAAAAGTAGCTACTGTCATAAAACTGACTATTACGCTAGCACCTATTATCGATTGTTTTCACAGCTTTTTTAGACATGCATACAAACACAGTTCAACCTTGAAACTATTCTTATAAAATATTGTGTAAAATGCTTACATTGTTTTTGTTTCAGGTTTACAATACTTTATTGGCTACTTTTAAACGTTGCACTAGCTTGTTTTTTTTAAAGTTTTTCCCCCCAGCTTTTAAGCAATCAGCACATACAAACAGTTTAACCTTGTGGATATATAAAAAAAATGTTTAATAGGTTTTGAATATTTTTTTATCTATTCATTTTACTAGCTACTTTTGAACAACAGATACAAACACAATTTAACCTCACTGAAATGAAATATTTGAAAATGGTTTTGTTGTATGCCTGAGGTCGCTCACAGTTATCTGTGTGTAAAATGCTATGCTAACTCGTCGGTTTTGCAACACTTGACTAGCTACTTTTGTAACATTACACTAGCACATTTTTTTAGGGTTGTTTTAGACATGGAAACACAATTCTGCCTCATGGCTTTTCATATGAAATATTTAAATTCCCTTTAAGTACGACTGACATTCCTCATGGTTTTCTGCAAATACATTGTTATGCTAACATTTTGTTTGTTCGTTTTACAACACTTTTGAACGATATGCTAACACATTTGTCAGGTTTTGTTGTTTTCAGTGTTTTAGCACAGAACTCACTGGCCTGGAATCAGATTAAATCCAGATCAGTCATCTATGTGTGTGTGTTAGTTGTCAGTCGACGTTAACTGTGGCTGGCTAGCTTAGGTGAGGTACAGGCTAAGCCGGCGTGTCAGTGTCCGTGCAGAGGCGCTGGTTGGAGTTGGAGGGTTTTGGGAGGGGGTTGGGTTGTTACCCATAGCCAACAGCTTGCTTAAGGGAAAGATCTGTCTGAAATTAGCCCTGTCACCCCTGGGAGACATGAAGGTGGGGATGGGATAAGAAATCCTGATAAAGAAAGGATCCTTCACACACACACACACACACACACACATCCACATCCACAACACAGACTTGCAGTTCTCTATACCAGGCATCCAAAGTGATGAAATCCTTCGGCAGACAGAGCCAAACCGCCGCAGGGCTAGTTGAACCACCCAACATGATATCTGTCCACCTATCACAACGCAGCTCTCACCTGCAGTTTAACACTCCCATATTGTACACACACATTGCTCATACATATGCATAAGTAAAGCCTCTCAGTATCAACACGCACTCGCCTTCGCACCGAGAGTGTGTGCAGGTGCTCACCTTGCAGGCACATGCGCGCTCTAGCTGCAAGGAAATTGCTGCCTCCAGCAACATCTCTGTTTGACCCTGGGGGCCGACCTCCTGCCGCGTCGCTACCTCCAGCCACCCAACTGTAAAATTATATCCACAGACAGTCAGAGAGACAGGGACTGGGCCTGACAGAGCACTGGCCTGAGACCAGAGCCGGGAATCATCCCTAACATGCTTGAGCTAAAGCACCCGGCGGTACGCAGCGTGAGGGGAACGAGAGCCGTATACCAGGACTGGAGAGTGCTTATTACACAACACTTAGAAAGATGCAGTTCACGAGACGAGCTGATGCATGAGGCGCTGATCACACACACTCAGAGAACGCACTTGTTCACAAGAACATATACACTAGGATGCTAATGCATATACACACACTCATAAATACCTACATGCTCTTCACTCTGCGAAACCTTGCGTACTCTAAGCTAAGTGAGAAGGGCCATACGTGTGATGATGATGATGTTGATGGTAGATTCTCAGCCACTCATCCCTCATGTCTGCACACACAGATGGATGGCCTTCTCCACAGAGCGAGCTACTTAATATACCTCATACCTCTCTTTGTCCCGCTCTTTTGGAGTGATACTTCTGTCTTTCGCCATCACTGTAGATTTGAGACTTTATAGTGAGGGAATGTTTTTTACACACTTTTTGAAACTAAATTCTTATTTATGAATGAAATTATGATTTAATCTATCTAATTTACTTTTAAATAATTAAACAACAGTTCCAGTTCTTTAATCTGATTGGTCAAACTATTTCTTATATCAGTACTGGAGCTTTTAGCGCTTTATGTACATGAAGTTTGGGTAACACTTTATTTTAAGGTGCTTGTAATAAGCAGTAATTAACAGTTAATAAGACACTTATAAGACCTTATAAGATGCATATAAGATGCATATAAGCATTAACTAATGATAATAAATAAATTAAATTAAATAATACATTTCTCAAGTATCAATACATTGCACTTTTAGAACAGCCGAGCAAACCTAAATGGTAACACAAACTCCCAGTCCCTTAAAAATTGACCTTCCCAAGAGGGAGTAGTTTCCCTGATCTCTTCAGGGCCTGGACCTTTAATTAACCCTTATATGAAGTAGTTAATGCTTATATGCATCTTATAAGGTCTTATAAGTGTCTTATTAACTGTTAATTACTGCTTATTACAAGCACCTTAAAATAAAGTGTTACCGAAGTGTGTGTATATGTGGATAATAATTTATACATATAAAAAATATGTTTTTGAGATTCAGAGTTTACGGGGCATGCTGGATGCATATTAGTTTCCTCACTGAACAATGAAGTGTTTTATTTTGCTTTCATCTAAACTCAGAAAGCAAATGAGAGAGTAAGAGGGGGAAAATAAGAAACCTGCAGACATAGGTTGGCAGTGATGGGATGCACCTTACGAATATGTAACATCTAATTCCTGCAGAAGGCAATTAGAGCTCGCCCAATTATTGTGCTGTGTTATAGATAGTGGCTGTCCTAACGAAGGCCGAAGTTTGGATTCTGACACCAGTGGCTCTCCCCACTGTAACTCTCCGGGGAAACGAGCAGCCATGGAAGCAAAATAACCAGACCTGCCTGTAGATATGAGTAGGCTAAAGTGTCTGCTCTCTCTCTCTCTGTCTCACACACATACACACTGACATACATACTCATACATATAGAGTGTGTGCTGCTTTTAGTCAGAGCAAGAGAGCAATTTAAAACTCAAAAGCCTGCCTCGTCGCATCAAATCCCGCTTAAAATTCCTCCGCTTCTGTGCTGCAAACCCTTCAATGAAATATATAGCATGCTGGCCACTGTCACCATTATCATGACTGACACAGAACATGCTACAGGCAATGATCACAGTAGTCAGATATGCTACTGCATATCAGCTAAACATCCCACATTATTTTCTCTT